ATAATAGTTGTATTCCTAGAGGTGATCTTCAAACCGCATCAAGTTGATGACGCTTTACCCTTCTGCCTTATTTCATCCTCATGTCTTAAAATAATTCGTATCATTGATGATTCAGGCATCAAAACAGCTCTGCTAATTATAGAATTTCCATCACCACGTTTGCGTCTTTTAAATATATCACATTTGTGTTATAAAATAATCCAAATAGCTTATTTCTTCCCCTCCAATATTCACTTTCTTAATCTTCCCTAAGTCCCAGGAGATTTTATTTGATTTTTAATATACTTCACTATACATATAAAACTAGATTTCGTGAAAAACATCGAAACGTGCATAAAGGGCAACGGTCTAACGATAACTGATACGTCTGCTCTGCAACCTTGTAATCTCGAAAACTATTAATTGAATTTTGGCTCACACCACATGTGGCCTGATATTAATTTATAAATTGTACTAAATCGAATTTCTTAATATTCGAATTCGCATTGGTAGTAATGTGCCTGAAAATTCATTTAATAATTCAAGAGAATAGCCTAACAGGCTCACACGTATTTACCTGACTGAACGGGCACATGCAAAAAGGAGTAGACCCGTGGATGCCTGAGGACCTCTGCGATCTCAGTAAGCTGGTCGAGGATGTACGGTGGATTGGTCATTCCAAGACGAAGCATGCAGCCAGCCGGTATAACACGCACTAATTGGGCAAGCAAATCGGCAAGGGTGAGGTGGCGCGGCCAGCGTGAAGCCAAGAGAGGACATAATGGGACAGACAAAGGGCTAGATTCGGAAAATGAGCAAGAATGAGTTTTGAAGCCGGGTTGAGAAGACTGAATTCGAGGAAGGTCACGACCGTAGGCACCCAAATCCTCGGAAGTCAACCATATTTCTTTGACGCCGTCTTTGAAAACAATGGGGAATTATGGAGTAAGATGAGCAGAGATGCAACCTTTTCATTTATCCACCAAAGATAAAAATACTCTGAAAGCATAAATGAATAATATGGAGCCTATGTGGGCTATTTTATACTACTCTGACGCAAACCTCTAAGATGTAGAAAAAGCAAGGAATAATTTTTCTAATTTAGCATAATAGTGGTTTGAACGAGAAAGTTTGAATGGATAAACTTTTATTGTAAACCCAGTAAGCTTGGCACTAAGAAGAGATGCAGCAAGCCTACAATCAAAACTAGTTGCATGCTGATATAAAACAGGTTAAACACTTACGCAAGCATGCCAGTAATTAATACCCGAAAGATATGCACGCATGTGCATTCACCCATCCTGGATTGTTTCCATACTTTCCTCAGCAAATTTAAGGGATCCCAACAATACAAAACTATAATTGATTCATTGACTTCGATTCTGGCTATACTTGTATAACTCTTATCAATTAACAAAATAGTTCAATGCATAATTACATTCGATTTAGAATCCAACCATAAAAGTGATATGGGAAAGACCTGGCATAATTCAGAATTCACGTCCATTCTGCAACCCACTGGCATTCGTGACTGTGCGATTTAGGGGCATTGTGTCACCAATATACACGCACAACTCGGGTTTGATTATTGTCGGGGGCGGGAGAGGGACTTATGAGACCCTGAAGGGGCTGAAAGTGCAATCCACTTTCGATAGGAATAACTTTTGAAGGTTAAAGCTATCCGCCCCTTAGCAGTTTAGGTGACTTGAGGTGACTACAGCTCAATAAAAATAAATATGCCATAAATATGTAATAATGCCACAAGCGGTCGCATATTTAAACTTGTAGTACAAATGTTTTAGTTGAGGAGTGACGAAAGTTTATGGTAGATATGAAGACCAAGATTGTGCCACCTTCTGTTTGGACGCAGTCCCCTTAGCTGTAATGTTGGTTTGACCTCATATTCGCAACTTGGAGCGACAGAAACCTTATGAAAGGTACCTAGCCCCACATTCTCTGCCATAATGTTCATGATAATTTTTTACATCAGATCGTTGGCATGGCGCTTTTCCAGGCGTTTCACCAGCGTCGTCAGAGAGCCGCCAGCATCAACAGAGCTACTTTGATAAGTTGTAACTCTGTACTAAAAATAGTGCTCATAACTGATGAAGTCGGCGAAACTTCTGGGAATGTACCAAGTCAATGGTCCACCTCTGGAAATCACGAATACTATAGCAAAGGATGCAGGACTAGGTACGTTCCACAAGGTCTCCCTGTCGCTCCGACCAAGTTGCGAAAACGAGGTCAAACTACACCCTAAATTTTGACCTTGGGGAGCTATTTCATTAGGATCTATCCGGATCAGGTTAATAGAAGGCTCCAAGGAAAAAGTATAGAAAGTAGCCCACCTGAGGTATACTCCTTCCAAGATATAGAAGGCTAGACTAAAATCGTAGAGCAAAACGAACGATGGTAAAGAATTGACGTTTTAGGCGGTAAAATGGTGGCAAGAAAACTCTAGAGACGTGAACAAATAAGTCTATTAATAAGAATAGAGATGTAATGCTAAAACGATAATCGTATTTTTCCCTAATGATTACAAGGATACTTAACAAATCGCTTAATGAAACCCTACGATCGTAGCGAAACTATAAGAGTGTAAATTTGCTGATAAGAGCTACCCCAATAAAAAGGGGCAGTAGCCACAATGATAATTGCAATTGGCTGCAGTAACAGTTAAGAAAAGTAGAATACTAGGAGCAACAAAAAACACTAACCGACCAGCAAAAGCCGATTGGGCTCGCTCCACCAGTTGGCCAATTGAATAGCTGGTTAGTGCTCCTCGAGCGTGCTTGGTTTTGCAATATGTACAGGCATTTAGGCATCCGGTACTGATTGCCAGTATCTCAATGAGAGGATTTCGTCTGATTTTAGGCAGATCGAGGGGAGCGCCAGGAAGCCGAATGACTTTCTGACCGTCTTTTGCATCACTGAACCTCTTCTCCAAAAAGCGGACAACATTGCCTAGTTAATATGTGAGTAAAGAACAAGAGTATAATATTGTTTGTATTCATAAGAAAAATAAGACAGTCACTGTGCGTGCATGAGTAAAAAATGGATCTTTAAGAATTCAGATTGATGCTTAGGTTTGAAGAGGAGAATGAAGGGAACTGATAAATTAGCCTCATTAGAAGTCGAAGGCTAGTCTTGTAGGTGTCACTGCATATCTATACTAATAAGTCCTCGGTAAATCGTCCCGCAACCCTGGCGCCTTCGTGTCATGTGACAAACGACTCCAGAACAGGAAACCATATCATAAGGTAATTAATCAAGTACCTTTTTGTTTTCATGCCTGTCAAATTATCGTAAAACATGATTTTCTGCTCTGACAATGTCTGCACATGCAGAAATGGGCCCAACAGGATCATGGGGCGGCGCACCAAGGACTTATTCGCACGAATCTACAGTCACAAT